CTGAATAGTCTGATTTTCAGTCTTTTGGGGAGTGCATTAGTCCTACCGGCCACAGGGCTGCACTGGAAGCTCACACTCAGCTGACTCCTTCTGACAGTGACTGGCAGGCAGGCTACCATCCTAACAAGCGTGACTGAGATTCCTTCTTCAATACAGAACAGGATATACTGAAATGCACATAGGGCGCTCATACCCAGTACACCATGTCATTAAGATCACTCTGCACTAGTGGCCTGTTATCTGGATCTTTTACCACACCCCTGATCTCTCCAAGTAAATTCTCTCAAAAATTTTATGGTTTTCTTGCTATTAGAGAACCCTGACAGAACTAACTTTTAGTCATTTTAAAATGTCTCAGCTTAGCCGCTGCTTAAAATACTTCCTAGATACTGTTGAAATGTAAAGAAGTCATCATTTATAATACAAGTATAGCTAGTTTTGTCTAGTACGAAATATGGGACAAGAAAATATTCTAAAAATTTCCAGCTTTGATGAATAAGAATTCTACTGTTGCATCGCGTAACAGCTTAATAACAAGTAGTCAACACAGTAAAAGTCTAGCCATACTTAATGCTGCTAGCCAAAGATCTCCATTTACATTCTTTTGCTGTGTCCAGTTCTTTGCTATTCTAACTTGTCAGTATTCATTGTACCAGCTCCTCCTTTCTTCCATTTGTTTTGATATTGATGTGGCTATTTCTCAAGCAGTTTCAGTCCCCTCTACAGTAAGCTGTCATTTTCCAGTGTTGGTGGTCTTCTTTCTCAAGTGGGGTGTTCTTACCTGAAATGATTTCCAATCTTCCTTCACATTTTTCTGTTAAAAATACTGCCTTTACTGTCTGTCCCTTCATTGGTGCTTTCAATTTTGTTACATTTATCCATTCAAAACGTGAAGCCTATATACTACTACTTTACATAGTGGAGTGAAGAGAACAGAGTGGTATCAACGCTGGCATTGATTTACAGCCTGTGATCAATTCTCTTTTATCTGCTAAAGCAAGGTCTAATACAGCACTTGTGTAGGTTGAACACAACATTTTTGGAGTAAGTACTCACAGAGAAAACTCCGACCTTTTACAGGGAGTCTGCTGTTGGTTGCACAAGATCTCCAACACAGATCAGCTGGAATACAACCTCTCAGCTCAAGCTACACTGCGCCTACGAGAGCAGCAAAAGCAGCCTCCAGCCTCCTGGCCCTCCAGGCATTGCGAGCACGGGGCTCCACCACTTTCCAGCCCCAATACCACGGTTCTCGTCTCATAAAAAAGGGATAGCTAAAGGGAGTCGTTAGGCATGCCTGGGTGTTGTGCCAACGTGGACTTGAGATTGTTCAGAGCTAAAAGCCGGGAAGTATTTTTCTGGGTTTGGCAATGCTGACTCAGCCTCAGATAACAGATTCTCTTCCTCCCCGCCCATCGCCACAAGGAGAGGTTTAATTCATGGGACCTGACGCTAACGATACTGCTCTTTCTGTTGTATCACTGATTCAAAAACATAGAAGGTTTTGTCAAAACAAATGTTTCAGGATTTGGGAAAATACAGCACTGTATCTCTGCTAGTTCTAATAGAGATTCCCTTTCAAGTTATGAAGGTTGAGATTTCAGCCCCCGGAAATAATTTCTCAGCAGATATTGCTCTCAGAGAGCAACAGAAAATGAGAAGAAAATGAGAGGGGTAAGAAAGAGGAAGGATAAATAAAATGAGTTTCTCTTCCTTAGCATGATCTCTGACTATCACAAGTCATGCTTACAAACTTACACATTTATAACAATGATCCAGGCATTTTTTACAGCTGTTTCATACCTTGACATCCCCTATTCGCTATCTGCTGGAAACCATCTGGACAAGTGCATTTGTAAGAACCATCAGTATTCATGCAGCTTCCTCCAAGGCAAATATCACTGTCTTGAAGGCATTCATCAACATCTGAAATAAAAATGTAACTGGATTATTAGATGATATAAAAACTGATGAAACTTTTAAAAGCGATACTTTGATACTAGCATAGCACCTTGAAGCTATCACGCCCTTGAATAACTGTGTGTGGAAATCAAGTTTACTGCACTTTCAGACATCCTTTTAATTTCCCTCTCATCAAACTTCTTGTATCTCTAGAGACCTTTAAAATTTGAGTTTGTATGTCATTGATTCCTGGCAAATATGTTTAACATGTGCCACCTGCATCTCTAATGAAAGCTACCATAACAGATCTTCATATCACTCTTCACCTTACTTTAACAGTGACTGCGGCGTTGCAGTCGTACAACTAAAAAGAAATCCAAGCAGCTGTCCACTTAGAAGACAGGCACAACAAATGCCCGCTAACACAAGTTTGTAGTTTCAATATGCATCTTTGGATGTGTTTAGACCACTACACGGAGATCCCTGAGCTGGGAGCGACCCGACTCAGACGTCCCCTGGAGTCCGGGCAAGCCCAAGCACAGCTGGTGCTGTGGGATAAAGGTGCTGAGTGCTGCATAGCAGGTTAAGTCTCAGGACACAAACTAGATAGAAAATAATCAAATATTTCAAGAACAGGACACTGGCATTGTCTCCACCTAAAGGCTTTTCTTCCCATTGTCTCTCAAAGGGTTTAAAGGCAGCCCAATGGATGAAACAGCACAGCCGCTGTGGGTGCAGGATTAACTCAGCACGTGCCTACCTTCCAGTGATGTTAGATGGTTTTGTTTCTCTAACGATCACAAGGTATTTGATGACTGTGACTTTAAGTTTTAAAAGCAAACAGGAAATGAGAGAGTCCAATCAAAGCAGCATCTTGTAAGCAACATTCCCCTGCCTCCAGAGTGCCCTACCTCGTAATTCACTGAGGCTATTGCTATTGCTCTGATAATGCAGATAGTTTCCTTTGAAAAACAGTTATCAAAGACTTTTTCCACTGCCTTGGATTATTCTGATATCTTAGGCATGGATTTTTCGCTGATTAGAATTATAACTTTTTCCTATGTTGCAGGAATGAATAATTGTAATTAAAAAAGAGGACACGACCTCATTTCTACACTTATCTCTGGACAGCCCACACTAGATCAGAGTGCAGCGATCCTTGGGATTTAATCTATTTGATAAAAATAAGAAACAGGGATGGCTTTCTTACATAAATGAGTGTTATTGCAGATAAAATTGCACTTAATGCTGACAAAGCTGTGACGTTTTGATAACCACGTTTTCTAACCATTTTCAACTGAGAAATACATTGTGGTTTATTTCAAACAGCAATTAATTTTGACTAGGAGCATGGGAAAAAAATTAATGACTCCCTTGTGCTGAGTTAACGCCAAGTCTCACAACAAGAAGGCGCCTTCTGCCAAATTCAGTCAGAATGCATTATTTTCCGTATAGGATGCAAAGCTCCCTTTCTCTGATGCAACTCTTCACAGGTTCTATGGTTGCTGCACAAGAATCTCCAGAAAAATATGGTCACGTATCTTGAAGACCTCTGACTACTAGGCAGTAACCTCTTTTTCTATCTTCTAGTGGAAGGTTGTGCTTTCCAATTTCATTAAGAGTTCAGTGCAAGGATGCATACAGAGTGTGTAGACTGCACATATACATGTACACACCAATGTATACAACAATGTTTTGCAAATTACCTTTATTCTTAAACAAGGGGCATATTGTTCAACAACTTCCAGAGAAGAACTTCAGCCAGAGAGTTGCAAAAAGCACAGCTGAACATGAGCACAGTATCATTCTGCCAAATTCTGCAATATCCCTACAATTCTGCACAAGCGTATAATGATCAAACCAGCATCCTGCTACATTTTTAAGAAAACTTCTGAAGTAGAAGAAATCCTTATTGAATAAACAAGTGCATTTCTTAGAAGTGATGTGCCAATCACATTGGCTTTATAGCCTGAGACATTTCTGGGTATCCTCGGACGTGACAAATGTCCATCTCTGAGTCTTTGAGAAACTGGACAGAATTTGAACCACTCTCATTCTTGACACAGTACCTCTGCATCTGTTGCAACTCATTAAGATCGTGAAGCCGGGTGAGAGTAAAATTCTTTGACAAAAGTTTCTAGCGCCTTGCTTAATCAGCCCACATTTCTTGAAGCTGATGCAAGTGATGCTGGTATTCACCAGAAGCTCTGAGAAGATCTTAAGTTTTTCTACGACCATATTCCCCAAACAGGTCAGTACCGAAGAGTATCAGTGTGCTGAGGAGATTTTATAAGATATCCTTGTTCCTTGTTGGTGAGAACTTCAAGAGGTGCTGTCACTCAATAAATGCAGACAATCCAATATCCCCACTGCTGACCAGGTCTGGTCTGATATTACAGGCTTGTCTTGAGAAGACAGCATTTGGCTGGCTCAAGGGGAACTGCTGTGGGTGAGAAGGTGGGAACTGCTTCCTAGAATGCTGTGTGGAGGATAACCTACCAGCAGAGCACCGTTGGGTACAGCAGCAGTAAGGAGCTTTGTCTTCCACGGTATCAGCAGCTACAGAAAGCACACCAGGGACTGGAAAGTACCATATGTACAGTGAGACCTGAACCGAGAGGTTTTTTCCCCCCTAGGGTGAGATAAGGAAGCAACGGAGGTACAGTCTTTTCTGGAGCTCACCAGTAAGTAATCTCACATGCTCAAGGTGACCATGAGTAGTGCAGCAGATGGACCACACCAGGTGGTATAGTCAACGATGGAGAAAAGGGAGTAGCTTTGAAATAATCAATCAGAAAAAAATCTGTTTGCCTATTACTGCACAATTAAATCATTCTACTTGAGAGATAAGAGAATGTTTCTGTTTTCTGTAACACAGCATTTCTCCCTGTGTTTACTGTACCTCTTTCACCTTTTTTTTTTGTTTGTTTTGTTTTTTTACAAGCTCAGTTTGTAGAATGCCTTCTGAGACAGATCCCCCTGGAGCTCATCTTATACTACATATTTTCTCCTGCCAGTGCACATGTGGGATTGTGGTGGCTGGCTACAGGTTCCCAAAAACAGCTGGAGAAGAAGTTTTAATTTAGCAGGCCCCCATGTGAACCGTGTATGCTGGCAGGAGCTTTTGCAGTACAGATCCTGTGTGTCAGAATTTGAGCAACAAGGTTTGGAAAGGCTTAATTGTTTTTGGTAACAACGTCAACTGCTCTTCCAGTCTTGCTGTTGGAAACACACACTGATTGCTTGTATGTGGAAAAACGACAGGGACTATTTCTAAGAATCCATTAAATATGTGGCTGTGTAGGTGGGGACTCTTGAATGGTTGACAGTAAAGTATTGAGAAATAAAGAGGAGTAACATATCCTTCTGCCCCATTCTCAGAATCTGAGTTCACGCCTACAGCTGAAATACTCAAGATCTTATTGAAAAAAAATGAATCAGTAGCTTAAGTCCGCAAGCTTACCTTCACACTGATCTCCAGTAGATGACAACGTGTAGCCTTGGCTGCAAATACATCTGAAAGATCCTTCTGTGTTCCTGCAGCGTCCGTTCGTACAGAGTGATCGGTGCTGGCATTCATCTACATCTGAAGCAGAAGAGACAGTGAAAAGATAACACATCTGAAAATACTAATTACTAATCAAACAGTGCAATAACCAATTCTGAACAAAACAGCAGTGTCAATATCCAGTACTGCTTCTCTTGGTCTGATTTATTAACAAATGCAGGCAGTCAATATAATACATAAAAATATATGAAACTGCAGATTGGATGTTTTCCTTGAGCTGACTGCATTCAGCATCCTCTCCAGGAGTGTCAATAAGTCCCTCAGTGCACAAACAGGTACACACAGGCACACAAATACACACACATGCTTTTGTTGCTTTTATATCTGGCAAAGGTAACTGGCCAGCCGCTCCAGTGAGTCAGCAAAACCCACAAAATACTTTCCAGCAGGATCACCACCTTTTAACAGGGTGTGGTTTTCAGATGCACACTGAGAGGCTGTTCCCCTATTAAATTGTACCTTAAAGCTCCTTTAAACGCTTGCCTTGTAACAGTTTAAATCCTCTAAGTATGGGGAAATGTCTCTCTGCTTCCATAACCACTGCTAATCCCTCAGCGCTTCAGTTCTCACGAAGTGGGGTCAGCCCGAGTTAACAGATGGACCTGAACATCAAACTTAAATTTTCCTACAAAAAACTCAAAAAATTGGTGGGGAGCGGAATTCAGAACACAGCACATGTCTTGTTTGAGCTAGGAAACCCGTTTTCCCTCCCATATTTATAAAATACTCTTTAAGGAACAGTAATTAAATCTCTACTGTAGGTTCTCAGCCACTTGTAGGACTTAGGCACGGCAAAACGTCTTTCTGAAAATAGACTCCAACCCAAACAGGAGAAAGTTACTCAATGAAGTTTTTCAGGTCTGTGTTATGGCTACACAGTCTGACCTCTTGAGTAATGGTCCCTTGCAACCACAGAAGTTTTGAATTTAAGGATCACCGAAACCTGTGGGGCTGCACGAAGCATCTGGGCACACGTACGTGTCCTCATTTGCGAAGGGTGCACTTTAAGAGGAACAGCCTGCACATGCCAGCTCAGCTTGGCAAGGGCCCTTTTCCACGAAAGGCTCCGAGGAAGCAGTCAGACTTTGTCTACATACTTTCCCCAAGAAAAGTCTGCTGTGCGTCCTGGACAGCACATTTAACTCACCCGAGACACTTCACTTACACTGATGTTTTGTTTCAAACTTCCTGACTAATTTACATGAACGACCATTTAGTTTTACTGCATTATTTTTAGCACTCAGAAGTCTGAAAGCGTTTGGTGCTATACACAGACACTTAAGGAAGGGTCGGGGAAGGGAAAAGAAGGAAAAACAACATCCGACAAGAAACGTTCAGGCTTCTGTGTGCTTCCACAGCTTGGAGACATTCTCCCAGATTTTCACCTTTGGGGATTTTCACCTTTCAGTTAGTCCCGTCCCTAAGGAGAGGTATATTCATACCTCCTGCACACACTCTAAGTTCTCTCTCAACTACTCTGCACTGACTTCAGAACTAATTTTTTTCCCCTGAAGCAGTCCTGATGGGAACTTAGATGTGTAAGGAATGTAGAACCTGACACTGTGGAGGTACAGGTTCAAAATACGACACCAAAGTCTCTCCACTAAATGTACTACTTGAAATGCAGTGACACCAACTCCGTGTTAACTGACTGCTGGGTTCCAAGAGGGCGCAGCCTGGGTTCTTTGATTGCGCTCACACACGTGAAAGAAAAAAATATAGAAGGAAAAGCAATTAAGGCAGTGAAAGCCACTGTCCCCAAACCTCCAAAATGATAGAAATGCCAAGGATTTTGCAGAAATTCAAATTTAGCAATATAAATATTACTACACGTTCTTGATTGGCTTTATAAACAAATATCAAAATCTACAATGTGACCATCAAAGCCATAAAATGGAAATGCATATTCTTACAGTTTTGGTTATTTAGCCTCAGTGTTGTACATTTGTTGTTTCTCCATTAAAAGGAATACTATCGGCTGAAAAATAATTTCTGAAAGGTAAGCACAACCTTAGGAATTTTAGTCATGTTCTTTCCTACCTTCACACTGATCCTCTGATGCAGAGAGCTTGAAACCTTGGCCACAAATACATCTGAAAGACCCCTCCGTATTTTCACAGCGTCCATTTGTACAGAGATTGCCGTACTGACATTCATTTATATCTGTGAATACAAAGAAAGCATAAGCGTATGATTAACTTGGATACAACCATCTTTCAGTTGAGCGTGGAAATCTATACAAATTCTGCCATAAGCACAGTTATAATCGGTTTTCCTGTATATTTTGACCTTGACAATTCTGTAGCAAATCTGATTTTAAAAAGGGATTTGAACTGGAGTGCCATTTTTAACTTCTTCCAACAGGCAGCTCACATTGGAATTCCCACCTAAACTACAGATAAATCTATTCTACATAAGTCTGAAGTGAACCAATTGACTTGCCTTTATTAAACAGAAGTGTCTATGTTCCTGGTTTTAAATCCTGGAAGACTGCAATATCAATAGCATCAAAGAACTGCAGAATTGTCCCAATATACTTTCAAGTGCATCAATTGCAGGCAAAGGAGTGAGCAGAGGTAAAAAAATAGACTGAAAATAGCACTGGGGAAAACTAGCAGAGCTGCAACTGACCTAAACTAACAGCAGAAACAAATTGATTCATGGAACAATGGACTCAAATACCCTTCAGAGATAACTTGGGAAATATTTTCCTTTCCAGTTGTACCACACTGCAAAGCTACAGATTAAGACAAGCTCTGTCTGCATTACATTTTCTAAAATGTCTATGGCTCATTTCCAACATGATGTAAGTCTAGGATAAACAGAAAATGAAGACTGAGCACATCACTAATGATGTGAGGGAGATGTCTAGGCTTAGAACATTTCATAAAACAAAGGAAAAAGGGAAATTACATGCAGTTATACAAGGAAAAAAAATATCAGCAACTTGGAACCAAGACTTATTCCTTGCATGACTTAGTTTTATTTTCTTTCTCTCACTCCACTCCTACTAACCTGATTAGCAAGAATAAAACAAGTGAAAGTTATTCCATGGCATTTTCAACCAGGCTATTTTCATAAATAGGTATAGAAATCAAGCTTGATATCATGAAAGAATGCAAAATTAAGTCAACTTTGCATTTTTCAAAAAAGGAATTAAATAAGAGGAAACCTTTCTTAACAGAGCGCACGTGCCACATTCCTTGCAAAGGCAGCAGGAGCCCAGGCAGGTGGGAAGGAGCCAAACGCAGATGAACACGGACTGGTGTGTGCTAAGTGAACCACATCAGTTTGTTGTCAACATTTCATAGTTTGCTCTAACTCCATTAAAATCAATGAAATTACCTCAGAAACACATTTCTCCACAGTAAGTCAGATCACAAGACCAAATAATGCAGCTATGACATGGTGATAAATCGTAATTGCTACAACACGCCTTCTTTAGAAATTCAGGTGTTTGAGAAAGGCATCATCTGATGAGGTGATGAGGCTCTGACAGCTCCACCATGTGTTTTTCAGGTGCTTCACCGCAACTTGGCTCTAGTCTTGCCCCACAGATAAAAAGCCCATTTGCGGCTAGAGCACAGTGGACGCCACCAGCGCTATTGCAACCAAACCAACCCTCTTGGACTGCTTCATGAACCGAACCAGATCACAGCAACTGGGAGCCATTTGGCAATCAGCTATGGAAGTGCACTGCCCGTCTGCCCTACAACAATAATGCAAACACCCCCTCTGTAGGTGATGTCCGCAGAGCGGACCGGAGCATTCACAACAGACAGCAGACCCTCCGTGAGTAAGGTCAAAATTAAGTTTTTGGTAGTGCCCCAGGAAGTGGCACTCAAAACTGCAAAAGATTATTTCTTTTTGCACAATGGATTAATTTGTTCTTTCTTAAATATATCTCAAATAGTCAAAACTGATTTTGGGGGGAAAAAAAAAATAAAACATTTAAAAACAAATTGACAAATCTATGCGAGAAATCTGTCCTAAAAACCTAACCTAAAGTGAGACAAGCTGCTTTAAGATATGCTGATGTTTTGCTGGAAGTACAGATAATTAAGTTTTTATTAATATGCTTTGTGAGCATACTGAGGACTATTGAAAAGCCTCCCAGTCACACTGATGAGTTACCACTCTCATGCTTTTTCCATTTGCTAATACCTCCAAACAATGGCTGACTAGCATTTCGCTGATAATACATCCCCCCTTTCAGTTCCATATTTTTTATTTCAGGAATTTAATTTCGTAATTATAATTTTATTGTTTGCAGTCTAGATTCACTATTCATTTCTCCACAGTAAAACATGATTTTCCTCATATATCCTGGGTCTGAGAACATGAAGTAACTTCAAAAAACTTGTATTTTCAATTCTTGTGGAAAGAAATGGGGACCCAAGGCACAGTGCTGTCACCAGGTTGTAACACTGACGGAATAGGAAATACAGCATCTCGGAATAAGAGTTATAACTGGAGATACAAAGAGTACTGAACATACCATGGCACTGTCCATTCCAGCCCCTGAATCCCGCTCTGCAAGGAATGCACTGGTACGAGCCAGGAGCGTTAACGCACTGCGCATCTGGACAAGTGGTCGGAGTCAGGCATTCATCAATGTCTTCAAAAGAGAAGGTAAAAGGAAAAAGGTACAAGGTTGCATAGATTAGTGCACCTCTGCGGAATACATTAGATCCTAGTCCATGCAAATTAATCTGAGTTTTCTTTTATACTACAAATCCTTTGTAGGTCCTCCATAACATCCAACAGATCAGTCTTCTAGCTTAGACAGGTAAGAAGAACTTTGCTTACGTCACCCCTTTACCATATTGAAGTATCCTGAGGTTTTTCCTATAGTCAGTCTCAAGAGACTTTGGAAGTGCATTGCAACAACAATAAAATTGTAACTCTAGTTTCTTAAAGCAAAGAGGAATTTGGTATTGTCCAGTGTCCTAGAGTTATGCAGCATGTAAGTATTAAGTGGACTATAAATTTAACTGTGTGACTGGTAATCAAAGACCCTTACAGGGAGTAGAGAGTTAATTACATCTGAAAGGAGGCAAAAGCTACACAAATATCACTGAGGCTGGCAACATTTAGGGTGGTAGAGGGATTTGTTGCCTCAGGAGAGGTCCTAGTTACAAAAGATAGGTCCTGAAAAACTCGTGGATCTCAAGGTAGATGCTCAGAGCCTGGACGAGAACTTCTCATCCTGGAGGGATTAAACCCACGCTCCATGCAATATATGCAATCTGACAGAGACTGCACACAAAAATGACATTCAAAGACAAGTTGCTGTCAAGTTACCAATGATCAAAAGATGCTGGAATTAAAACTGTGTGGGCAGCCTCATTCCAGTCTGCTCCCATACTCAAGTATCATTTTATAATACAGTCTTTAATTACACAGTAATTATAATCTTTCCTGCCACAGACTTGCTTCATGCAGTTCTAATAAAAAATCCAGCTTTCGAAGCTCCTGTCCCTTCCCTGCCCCAAGCCGAGCAGTTTGAGGATTGCTACTCCAGCACAGATAGCAGGGAGGCAACTTACTCCTAGTTTTGGGAACAAGCTTACAGAAGGAAAGTTGCCTCCAGTACTTGTAATTTAACTGGACAATGCTCCAACCTTCAGGGAATTGAACATTCCAGCCCCAAAAAACTAACTGCATGGGGGCAAATCGCAATTTTTTCATAGAATCATGATTGTCCAGCTGAGAATGTTTTCTCATGAAAACAGCAACGGACCTCTTCTTCGTGAAACTGCTGGGAGATTTTTTTATTAAGAAAAAAATTCCACTTCTGGCGAAACCTGTTCCCAGAACTGCCTGGACTGTATCTGCCCTCAAAACACACACGAGTGATGTATTTGGTACGGAAATCTTCAGTCAAAATAAAGTCTAAATGCTGCAAAGCTTAAAGCAACCACAAGCAGATTTTTATAGGAATATTTAATCGTATGTAATGATGTTTAGCTACACCTATAACACCATTCCACATAAACTATAGACTCTACAAAAACAACGCATATGCATTCTTTCTGTTTCCCAGGCTAGGCGCACGAGGAGGTGGAAAGGAATTATTTGTGGAATCTGGAATCTGTCAGTAGGGTGACTATCATGTGTAGGTGTAACGACACGGTGAAATGCTTCCCTGAATGTGTCATTTCCTTCGTTTGATGGATTTAGTGTAGGAGGGCTTTTCCTTTAAGCAACTTTAAATAATTTTCAACTGAGAATTTGGTTTCACAGATTACATATCATTAAGTTAAATGATAGAGGACTATCACCACGCTACTTAAAGCACAAGCTCATAAGAAATTTGACACACCGTGATATTCTAATTTCTAGCCTATTTTAATCACAGATTCCCTACTGACAGAGGAGATTTGGAAAAAGTAGTTGTAACAGTGGAGTGTGTGAAACATTTATTTAAATTTAAAAAAAAAAGTCTGAATTGAAAGAAGAATCTTTTAGCAACGTGCAGAGCAGCAAATATATCCACAGCAGCTTTACGTCGCTTATTTGAGAAGCAACTTAACATGGTAGCAATTTTATTCTGTCCTAAGTAACTTAAGACTAAAGCCATGAACAAAACTATGTTTAAAATGAAATGGCTGCTTGTGGTTTTTAGTTCACAATTCAAGTTGAAAATGAAAAAAGAAAAAAAAGAACAGCAAAAAAGAAAAAATATCACACTGAAAAATAAAGTGAAGTTTTGCCGGTCAGATGTCCTAGGATCTCCTGCAACATGAAATACCTGCTAGATATATATTTCCAAATGAAAGGGAGTCAGCTTATCATTTGCTACCTGTTATATAATATAGGAAAAATAATAGTTGTGGTGTTTTTTTTAAACAAAAACTTGGTAAAATATGCAGGGAAGGACTAACAATGAAGTGAAGAGATTCCAAGGCAGGAGCTGTTAAAATAGCTGTCCTGAGATGGTTCTGTCTATAGTGGGGGAACTCCTTTGTAGTGTCTTAAATCTAAAAATTGAATTGCAGTTCCACACATCAAATAGCTGCAAAGATTGGAGAGCACTCAAAAAGGTTTCTTGTTTAAGATTGCACCCTCTGAGAATCCTCCCTCTGCAGCTCAAGCCGCAGTGTTAAGCCTCCCTTGAACAGCAGGCAATGCTAATCACTCCAAACAGCGGTACCATTTGGCATTGTTTCTGTGATATGAATAAATGGTGACTTCACTTCATCATCCAGGACATACTGGAGATAAAACAAGCAAGGCCCTTTTGAACATTCTGCCATTTTTAGCTGGTGTACAGGGAGAAGTCAAATGATCTGAAGAAAAATTAAATGAAGAAAGTAGCTGTGAGAGAAATCCATCAGTAAAATTAAGCTAGAGAAATTACCCATGGAAATAAAGCACAGAGTGAGATGGGGAAAGGGAACTCTGAACACAAATTGATAAAAACCCACTGTGTCAAGATATTCCATCTAAAACCAAATAGCAAGTGGAGACTGAAAGGAATTAAAAGAAATATACCAGGTAGAAAAATATTAAGTTAAACATGAAAAAAAAAATCTGTTATTTTAATATTTTTATCTAATGGCCAGATTACTTCAAAAACAAAGAAACAGATGTAAAGTCTTCTGTTGATACCAGAAACAGCAGTCAATGAGAACAAACGGCTCTTCCTATTGCAGTTGTTTGGCTTGGCCACTGTTACTGTACTGCTACTGGTGAAGAGTCCAAACCTACCTTCACATTCACCTCTTCTGTTCATTTGGTATCCACTGTCACAATATTCACATCTGTACGAGCCAACAGTATTTATACAAAAGCCTTCCCCGCAAGTATGAGGTCTTGAACATTCATCAAAATCTGCAGATGAGAAAGAGAAGTTAAGAGAAACTTTGCTTCACCATGGAATCGCTATGCATCTCCCCTAAACTCTGCTTTAATTAAACATTAATAATGAGTTTGGATTTTCAAGCTGTTTGCAAGCCACAGCCCTACAGCTGTTCTTACTGAGCAGTTCCATCTTCACCTCACTGCTTGTAATCACAGAGATAATGAGACCTAGAAACAACCAGGCTGCAGGAAGAAGGCCAGTGAGCAGCTCCGTGGCTGCAAATGCAACGTGTGTCACTGCAGGTAATGTTGTGCCCAAGGCAGCGCTGACCTGAGGAAGACCACGGCCAGCTCAGGGTGTTTGTGCTGCTCTGCACAGTCCATAGCTGTCGGCAGCTATATTTAAAAATATGGTTTGTTACGGCTGCTAGGGATTGAACGTTTTGAATATTTGTATTTTCCACCACAGAAGGTGTTTTTATTAAATGGTAATTTTCCTAAACCAGCATGATACTGAATAAATTCTTGTGTTTCAACAAATTACAATTTTGAAAGGTAGTAGGAGATACTCAAATATTTTTCTCACCACAATACCTGGTGAGATACTGTTAAAAACACTTCCAGACATCAGTCCAGTACCAATGACATTGAAGAAAAAAGCTGAAAAAGGGGATTTTAGGGGGTTTTAGATAAGCTTCTTGACTCGTTTTTCTATTTTTATTTTCAATAAAGGAGACCAGTAATTACCAACACAGTCTGTTCCATCTTCGCTGGCCATGAATCCAGCTTGGCAAATACATAGGAAACTTCCTTCTGTATTTTCACAGCGTCCAAGGGAACAGAGATGGGGTGCTTGATTACACTCATTAATATCTATAAAAGAAATAAAAACATAAGACTACAGAATAACATATTTAGTTGTGATTTATTTTGTGTATTCTGTGTCATGCTTTTGAAAAGACTGATCATATATTTATTCTAACTATTTGAAAAAAGCCCATGTTTTCCTCTTTCTCAGAGCTGCAAAAAAGATGGATCAAATAGTTTTGGTTGGAAAAATAAATGCTCTTATTGGCTTAGACTATAAGAATATTGTATTGGTCTGAAGAATGTGACATAATGACTTTTCAAATCCCTACAGTGAGTGCACGCTGAGCACAAGCTGCAAGCATGGAACATTGACACAGCTTGGATGAGTTACAAGGATTTTAAGTTGCCGCTTGGCTGTGGATGTATGCAAACTATTCTTTAACACTGTATTTACACCTGAGAGCATGAGTGCCTTACTTTGCAGATCTCCTAATGTTCTTCTTGAATATTTACAGTATACTTTCTCTTTTCAGCAGAAGGTTGAAAGGAAAGACCTAACCAAATGACTGAATTTAGTCCAGCTGCAGAGCTGGCTGCTGGGCACATCATTCTGAGAAACAGGCACTAATTGGGTCGTTCTTTCTCCAAACAGAAGTGTATGTCTTCCTAGCACTCTGCCAATTTTAGGTACCTGATATAAAGCTGAGAGGAGATTGTGTGTCTAATCACCTCTTCTCTCATTTCACAACGGGAGAGGCTTTCATTCAATTTAATTAAACTCATGTTCGGTGGCTGAAAGGTTATATCAGCAACTGGCTGGCAAATTCTATTTGACAGACAAAACCTAGTGTCTGTGTAGGTTAGAACCATTCAGCAAAGGAAGCAGCTCCTGACTGCTCTTAGCACAGTTCCCCTGAGCAGACTCTACATTTCACAGCATGGTTATTTCACATTTTTGCAGGTGTCCATTCATACCAGAGCACTTTGTCTGCTGATCGTTAAGCCTGTATCCCTCGTAGCAGATGCAAGTGTATCCCACAGGCAAATTCACGCAGTGTCCCGCTCCGCAGATATCAGGATTAACTGTACATTCATTGATTTCTAAGCAAACAAACAAAAAAAGTTTAATGTTAAACTCTCCCACATAGTTCAGTAAGTGAACAATGTTCTGTAATCCCAGGAGAAAGATCAGCCCTGGAAACAACTGTAAATTAAGTTTGTAAATCCTGAGCTTCTGTTACATCCATAACCTTATCTGGACGAACCTAGAAACCATCTAGGCTTTTCCTAAACACATACTCTCACGTCCCATTCAAGATTTATAAATGGGTACATAAAAAATAAAGTAAAATTAATATAAAGTAAAAATGTATACAATTTAACCTTTGCAGCGAAGGTTAAGAAAATTATTTTTACAGAATACTCATCTGTTAACGGCTTGGATGTGTTTTGTAAGATAAGGAGGTTCAGATATGGATAGCATTGGATGCTAAACTCTTACAGCAGTTTTAGAAATTCTTGAAGTATATTTGTTACTGCAAAAAAATACCAATTTAGTTGCAATTTAAACTAAGGTTATACAGCAGCATGAAATCCTAATTCCTGAAAAAGAAGTTAACATCTGTAAAGAAGAATAATTTATCCAGACTATTTAGTAATAGGTTACATTTAAATGTAATTAAATCTTAAAGTACAGAATTTACGACACTCAAAAACATCTCAATTCTAACTGCATTTGGTTTTTTAAAACCAATTTAGGATTTTGACCTACAAATCTCACTTCACTTGGACTTTACTATCTCAAATATCTGCACAACAGACTGATTTATGTGCACACAGCAATTTCTAGTTCCACTCCTTTTCCTGAGGAAACAAAAACCAGCAGAACATGGAAAACTAACATTTTTCCCTAACTGATGTGAGTTCCCAGCAGAGTAACTTCCTCTCCCTGTAAGGAAGCAGGGAGCTGGCTGGCAGCAGGGGCACAGTCACAGCAGGGCTGACTTCCACACTCTGGTTTGACAATCACCAGCAGCAGAACTTTCATATGGGACTGACGGACTGCGATTATAGGTAATGGAAGGAGGCAGCTGAATGCTTACAGACAGGATATTTTCCCTGTTTCCTGTTAATTCTGAGAGTAGCCAGTGTGACACTGTGATGCTCTCATGTATACACACACGGTACATTCACCTTTTTGTGTTCAAACTTACAGCAAGTGAAATTCTCATGCCTTTTGGACACAGCCATTGCTGAGACAATTGTCAGCTATGAGAGGAGCATTACTTGCATTTCTGTTATTTTCACTTCTTGACACATGGCTGTGGAGAAGGCTTCTTCAAAAAAGGAAGCAGCACAAACATCAAAAAACCATTTCAAAATAGATCTTACAGTGAGTTCTCACCTGCATTTTGTAGAATATGCTTATTTACATCCCTCAAAGAACATGATCACGAATACACATGTGCACACTGTCCAAAGACCTGACTTGGAACCAAGAAGTCTTCAGTTCCGGATTTTGGTTGCAGATCGTGTACTCTGAGGTAGAATGACTAATTTTTCCTTCTATCATTTATTTGTAGGCACAGAACTGGCAGGTGCATCCTGGGAGGGTCCAGTCCTAGCCCTGTTGGCAGTGCCCTCATTGGTGTGCTGTTCTGCACTTTCTATGTCTCCCCAGAATATTCCCTTCTGTTCTACAGCCACATTCTCTTCACTATTACAATTCAGAAGCAGCATGGAACAAGTTATAGTGTCAGGAACTCGCAGTCATTTCTGAAGTTATTTTAGTTCTAAAAAGGAAGTACAATACCTGTAACTTGAGTAGGTGCAATTACTTGACTTGCACTGGAAGTAGAGACTTCAGGAGCAACTTCAACAGGCAGAGGAGGAGATGTTTTCTCAATCACTACTGTGTGACATGGAATGGAAATCAATCACATCCAAAAAAAACCCTTAAAGCATTCATACGTGATATTGAAAGAGCCAGACACTATGGAGCTTTTCATTAGTTTATTCTGCTTAGATCTGGAGTAGAAAAAATAGTATAATTGGATTTTCCATCATTCTACTTGTGAAAAAAACTGAGGTGCTAAAGAAAGCAAGCGCAATAGCAAAACCTTTGCAGTAAAAGTTATGCATAAATCTCCAAGGAGACACCTAAGTAAAATTTCCTCTTGAAAGGAGGAGCACAAGGCCTCAACTCTGCTGACATTAAAATTCTCATGTACATAATCCAGGATATCACTTTTACCTAAAACACATCTTTGCCTCCTAAAAAATCACCCAGCCAATGCCAACCTCATTAATTCCTCCCACTTCAGCTTCCACTATTTATTTTTCTTCCATATTCTGCTCATGGAAAAATTGCTTGTGAAGCTGCAATCAATTTTTCATTAACCTCTGTTACAAGTGCTATCTTCCCATTCTTTGAAGAATTGCAAGCACTCTCTCATACTAGAAGACAAGTCAAAACAAGTTACCTGGAAACTGTGGATGCAGGTTAATTGTTGAAATTCCAGGAGAAAGCTGAGGCTGCCCAGGCTCTAGATCAGGCTGCTTTTCTTGATCAAGGGAAGCTAATTCCTAAAAGAATGATTAAAAATTTACATTCTGAAAACGGTCTCTTAATTCAGCTATGAGAACCACCCACAAAATTCCTGACTTGAGGTACTAACATTCCCACGAGTGGCTTTTCATAGTAAATCATTAATTACCAAAAAAAGAACATTGAATATTATGTTTACACAATGGCATACAATTTAACATTGATTTTATTTGAAGTAGCCATTTCAAGGAGCTTCTGATTGTATCTTTGGTTTTGTCCCTCCATAGACCTCCCATCCTTTGGTCTTTAATTGCTTATGAATAATATTTCACTGCAGTTCAGCATCACACAAAGGCATACAATCACATCTCCAAGCTTTTCACCACTGTGAAAGATTCTCTCAGCTACTGCACTGATCATCTTATTTTCATAAAAGTCTTAGACGTTTGTAAATCTTCAGGAAAATGAAATTAAGCACAGCTGCAGTTATTCCTAACAAATCCCACCACCTTCAGCATAGAGAACCTGGAACCTCCAGAATGAGGGACTTAACACAGATACCCACCCGCTCTTCTCCACTGAATACACAGCAACCCTAAGAAAACTAGGAAACTAACTTAGGTATTAATATAAGTCTCTTAAGCAGGTTATAATATATAATATTATATATTATTACA